AAATCGACAAGCTCTGCAAGGGTTTGCCTCTTGATCTCCTTTTCGCGTGCAGACTTCATCGTGTCCGAGAAATCAAACATAATGCAACAATTCTGAAGTTTCCTGATGAACACTACATGTCGGTCTGACAATTGAACATCCTTCATCATGGGCAAGACTTCGACTACTCCAGGGTTTTGTGGGACAGACACTTGAGTCAGGGACTGTGGTGGAGCAGCCGGAAATCTGGATGCGTGATTCACAGTCACATCTGGAGCTGCTGTAGTCGGTACTGGAGGTTCAATAGCTTCCGATTTCGAGGGCTTTCGTTGCCCCATTTTCATTATTTTGTTAAACATCACTTTTCCCCAATTAAAATACCCCCCAAAATTTAAAACAGTAAACACACACTCAGTCTTACACCAACGCTAGTAATACTAATTCCTAGTTATCTCCTATACCTATTCTTATATCCATCAAAGCACAAAATTTTAAAAAATTGAACCCTGGAAATGAGAGAAAATAAATAAATGTACGAACTACGAACGGTTATACATGTGAAAACAGATATCATACATTATAAATTGTATAAGCATAAAGTGTAAATACCTTAAATTGGGTGTGTGAATTGATCAAACCAATGCGAAATCTGGAAGAATTAAGCCATGAATGAGAAAATTTAAAATCCTCATATACACCATGAAAACGATGTTCTTGAGAGAGAAAATTGTGCGTTTTCCAATTTAAGGAAACGGGGAGATCCGAAATGGGAGGGAAGGAAGAGATTACCGAAGCAGCTTTTTCTGTCTCTCTACTCTCTCTGTGGCCGCTTCAACAAGATAACCCGTTACCCGACCCGAGTGACATTGTTACGAGTAATGTTATTCGTCCCACATCGTTACTCTATTTTTATTGAATAATGAGCAAGTTGATTTTGAATTTTAGTTGTACAATTAGTCCTAATTAGAAGAAGTGCACAATTTTATGTTGTAGCGCGGCATCGTTTTGATGGAAACATCTCCGTCTTAAAATTTTGACATGACTCAAGTTGGAGAGCAAAATTTAGATTCACGTTCTTAGATATACGAGTTGAATTGAGAGTCAAATGATGATTTAACATATTTGATTTCAATTCAAAACTAGAAGTTTCCCAATAAATGCATTAAGATCATATTAAGTTCATGTTTGAGCCATATTATTTTTTTCATTCTCATTTTTAATCACACATTCGTCAATAAAATAATATTTTTCATCACATCAATAAATTTTCCTTCTTTTTCAACCATATATTCCCCATCACATAAAAAAATGTATTCTTGGGTTGATAATGTGAACCAAACAAGGACTAAACATTTCTTTCGTATAATTTTTTTAAAATTTATTTTCAATCGCATATTCTCCCAATAAAATAAATTTGCACTCAATCGTAGCTTTTACCTACTAATAGACTTTTAAAAAAAAAAATATTTTCACTCCAAATAATTTTTCAAAAAAGCTAAACAAGAGATGTAGAGTACTAGCAGATGTAACGTCCTGGAAAATTCATGATATTTTTCTGGATATTTGGTGCATTTTATATTCTATCCCCTTATTTGTTGGGCATTATTCAACTCATTAATAGAATAATTGTGACCGTTACTAATCAAAGTGGGACATACCTGTGAGAGCTTTGTCAGAAAAAAGGCCTGCTAGAAGGTACAATAACGGTCCTATTTTTTCTAGTTTTGGTAGAATAATGCACAACAAACAGGGGCTATAATTTTAATGACGTAAAAACGAACTAAATGGTCATGTTCAAACAGTTTGTCTTAACCTTGTAGCCGTCTAGCTTTTCAAGGAGATGGATGCAAAGATCTCCATGAGCTCTTCGAAATGGTATCTTGGTATCATTCTTCCTACTAGAATGCACGTGCCAAAAGTGGGTTGGAAGTGATGCCGACAAACGGGAAACCAAAATGAGTAAGTGAGTGGCCAACTTTGGACGGCTACAACTTCACCCTTGTGAACGATTTTATTTTTCGACAATGGTGTATTGAAGTATTTCGTGAGAACTTCATAATGGTACCAAGATCTCGATGTGACGACTATGAATAATAGTACAAAACTGTAATTGATCAAATATTTGGGTGGAATCACTATGGCTATAGCATCCATTTTCTAGGGAAGTTGGAAAGTTTTTTTTTTCCATTTTCCACTTTTTGCATTGTTTGATAGCACATATTTTTCAGGCAAAACTTTTCCACCAACCTCCACCACGTGCCTACTTTCTTTGGATTGTGGGAAAATATTTTCCTTTTGTATTTGTGGGAAAAGATTTTCCAGGTTTTTTTTTTGGCAATGTGAAAAAA